ACCAATACTGACGAAACACTTTATCGATATGAATACAAGAAGACTTTTCAGAATGTACATGCGCTTTCCTCTCGATAAAATATTATAAGCAAGCCTTCTGTGATGCTGCCGGCAAAGTTATAAAGGCACTGCAAATAAAAACTAGCATTTATCGAGGATCCTGTATAAATTATGACAAATATTCGCAAACATATATATTGATATATATAATCAGATAAACCTACCTTGATTGTGATATGGATCTCATATTGCATAAATCGTTTTATATAGATTTTTGACTTTCGAAACGAAAATTTCACAGGTTTATAAATTGGCATAATACAACACATCTGAAATTGGCCGTAAAGAAGAACAATCAAATATTCTTGAAAATAAAATCTATGAAGAACTCATTGTTTCGAAAAAATCAGTGACTAATAATGGCAATTTATGACGTTAGTAATCCCCATAGAAATTTGAAAGCATATAATGTGGTATTAAAATATAAGAATTCATGACGCCCTACAGGAAATTGAAACAGTCAGGAAGAAAATTTCTGTAACGCTCTGTGATCTATCTTCTTTATCATATAATACTATATCCAAAGATCTCTGAAAGACTATTTCCTTTCTAGTTATCTCTATGCATAATGATTTGTGTATTTCTGAAAAGCATATGAATATATAATAGACATATAGTAGGTGTTGTTAAATCCTACACAATTTAAACATTTTCAGAGAAAGATATCAGAGATCTCTTGCGTTAAGACATAATAAGTAGTGAAAAATTGACCGAAAAAGAAATGGGATCAAACCAATATCCAATAAATACAACTATTTTTCTTTTAATTTGTGATCATAACTTGATAGATGACTGTCGGTAGATTCCTACAATTCTTGTGAGTTCAACTGCCGGTCAATCTACCGAGTAAGTACAAAATGGACTTTTTCTCATTGTGGCTAATGTGGCACAAGGAATCCTTAATTAAGTGAATGCTCATATGAATTTATAGTAGTAGACATAATCATAAATACTTCATCCTTTGCATCCCTGTGGAAAAGATAGTTTGATTGGTATTTTGCGGAATGATTCGTAATTTTGAGAAGCTTATTTAAAAATGACACATTTCATTTTGATAAGGCAAAGCTAAGCTCACACTGCTAGGTAAATCTATATAATTTCTTGTCGAACTCTAAAATAATAAAATATTTGGAAGTGTTTATTTCATCAAGGATTGATTTATTGAAAATTAGTGAATCAATATTCTTTATCAATACGTGAAAATACGCCATAAAATAGAAACGGATAAGGGAATAAACAGTATAGTTATATCTAGATACGTCTGCTTTTTCGCTGGAAAACAGCATAGGGTCATGAAAAATACCATAAACTTAACGAAAATAAAGATTATCTTCAAAATGCTTATGTTATTATTAAGATGAAAGACCAACTTATTTTTTAATTATTTTTTGAATTTTTTTAATATTTTCTAACACGTGCGAAATTTTGGTTAAATTCTTCTTTTGTTTACGTCATCGCGGTGACGTTAAAATAACATTGTTTTTTTGGCGCTTTTTTCCGTTGAAAACACATTGATTTGGAAATTCTTGTAAAAATCAAGTAATTGTCCGATTGTAATGAAATTTTCAGGACTTATAAACAAATGAATGACATTATTTTTGAAATATTTCTTTTTAGAGAATTTTGGTAAAGAATATATATTTTTTTAAATATGTTACACCCCACTTACTTATTGAAGTAAAATTTTGTTCAAAGCATTTCTATTTCCTGAATTTTTTTGTTTTTTTGTTTAAAGTACGAGTCATTGGAAATGGTAAATCACCTACTTTTGTTTTCAAATTTGAGCTTACTAACTGAAAATCTGCTCTGAATTGAAAAATAATGAATCCAATATAACTATGATATTACTTAATTAGAAAAGCTTTTAATTGCTTTTGTAAATAAGTAATATTAAATGTCTGAAGAAATAAATATTTTCTGATGAATAATTAAATTTTACAAGAATTTTTTCATTTGTTTTAAATTTTAATTATAATAATTTATAATAGTTTAAAAATCTGGTAAAACTCTGTATTAGGCTATTTCCTTGAGGTGATGTAGTAATTAATTTGAAACAAATTTTACCAGTTCAAAATTGCAAATTTTAATAAACTTAGTTCTGCTAATTTTTTTTTTAAATAATAATATTTTTTTAACTAATACGTTCCTTATTTCCATGTACGGTAGACTGAAATTGCCATTATTATAAAAAGAGTTTTGTCCCTTTATTCTAATAAATAAACAGTAAAACTAAAAAAAAGCGTTCACTCAGATTTCTAATAATTTTCATTTATGGTCATCCGTAGTAGCTGTCATCACTCGTCAATCAACACATAGATCAAATATTGGATAAAAATAACAGTACCAATCGTTAATAATTGGTTGTATATTACATTTTTTTATGCTATAAGTAAGTAATATTTCTTTTAAATCAGATTAATTTAACATTAAACTTTCTAATTTTACTAAATAACGTGTCAGAAATTTTTTTTAAATATTTTAAAAATCGATAAATTTGTGTTTGTTTACAAATTTCTTCCGTTTTTAAGAAAATTTAATAAATCAAAATTAAATTTGACATTCCAGTGTATATATTGTCTATCTGAAATACACTAGAATTGTTTCCTTAATGGAAATAATAAATTTAATGATTAAACTTTCAATTAAAGCTAAAATGAAATCTTCAAGAATGTTTTTTTCCTTTCAAAAATTCATTTTAATCTTAGGTATCGAAAATTTATGCCGAAAAAGTGGAGGTACCTGGTTATCTTTATAAAATGGATATAAATATTAGAGGTATATTTATAGTTATGCATTTCAAGATAAATATCAATTAAAGATGTTTCAGTATTTCGTTTTGTTTTTTCCCTCAAAAGAAATAATTAGTAAGACTTGGGAGAAAATATTTCATACAGTCATTCTAACTAAATTGCATGTAAAATGCAAAAGCCGAATTAATGTATAATCTTAAGCAAGGGATGAAAGCAACTGTGTGAGCTTCGAAATGGAGACATCAGATTTAAACTGATACCGAAATGTAGCTACTTGTGTAAGGCAGTCGCAGAGGATGGATTTCGAATTGGAAGAAGGAAAAGGGCACCAAGAAAATATAATTAAACATCGTAAACGTTCATTAGAAGCAAAGAAAATATAGTGATTTTACATAACATATTTTTATTCCTGTGTAGTAAAATCTACTATGAACATTTTCCATTCAGATGAAGAAAAAAGCTCAAACTCAAGTAGAGAATAGTAGACACAAAGATGCATGTTTATAGTGATTTTCCAAGGGAAGCTCAGATGTGGCACAAGGCCGAAAGTATGGAGCATTCTTTGAGAATCAAACTGACTACTCAGTCATAATTGTTCCGCGTGGTGCCCAGAAGATTTTCCAAGCGAAGCTCAGATGTGGCACAAGGTCGAAAGCATAGGGCATGCAGTAAGGATCGAACTCACGTTTCAGTAATAACTGATCTGGCAAGACAAGCTTGCTAACATTACACCACGCCGAGTTGCCCAAATAATTCCCTAAGCGTAACTTAGATGTGGCACAAGACCGAATGTGTGTGGCAACTAGTGAGGAACGAACACTTTTTCAGTCGTAACTGAACAAGCGAGACAAGCTTGCTAACAATTACACCACCCCGAGGTGCCCAAGGATGCATGTTTATATGCAGCTATTAAAAGGGTATACAACTAGGAAATCCTAAGGGAAAGTGGAATTGGAAGAAGACATATGCTTAAAATCAGAAATGGATATTTGAAATTTCAGGCTTATAATAGTTGTAAAGAGTGATTTGAAAATGCAATAATAACAGGACATATTATAAAAGAGATACAGGTAGAAAAAGAGATATCTACGAATTTATTTAAGAATAGAGACGCAAAGGGATGTTAAAGTGCTTAGTTTACTAGATAAACCAGAGACACAATGTTGTTGAGAGCAATGTTCAATCACGTACTTAATTGATACAGTGTAGAAATAAAATAATTTTAAGTGCAGTTAATAAATAGATAAACAGAGCTATCTACGAAATCATTTAACAATGGAGACAACAAAGGATGGTAAATTGCTTAGTTTATTAGAGAAACAACTGAAAAAATGTCGTTGAGAGCAGTTATCAGTCACGTAATGATTTGATACGACATAGAAATAAAATAATTTTAGGTGCATTTAATAAACAGATAAACAGTTATCTACGAAATTATTTAACAATGGAGAGACAAAGTGATGGTAAAGCGCTTAGTTTATTGGAGAAACAAGACACAAAATGTTGTTAAGAGCAATGGCCACTCACGTAGTGAATTGATACAATATAGAAATGAAATAATTTTAGGTGCAGTTAATACGATAATGAGTATTGAAAGGAGAATATACAATTTTAGAGAAATACAAAAAGTTGCTTTGCTAGAAGCAAAATAGCATAACATATCGTCTAAATTTCCTTTCTATCGTTGGCATTGTTTCTTTTGAAATATGTTTCATTATTTTTCATTAATTTTAAATGATTTTTTCTTAAACGCAAAAGTGTAGGGTTACAAATATTAAGAATGAAATGTTTTTTCAAGCATACTGCGAATCGAAATTATAATGAAGTTATTCTTTCATCAAAGGTTCAGTTGTTTATCCAATAAAACTTTAATTCTTCATCCACTAAAACATCAATTTGTCATTCACCATATCATCAAATCTTCATTCGATAGATATCAATTCTTCATTTCCCAAAATTTCAATTTTCCTACACCACAACGATTGAAAACATTAACAGAGAATCAGAGATGTGAACACTATAAAGTAATTTACTTGTAAGTAAATGTAGTGATTATTATATAAATAATTCAAAATCATCCTCATTGCATATTCATGAAATTTTGCTAACACAAAGGAAATATCTACCTTCAGATTTTAAAAAAAGTGTTAATGATTCACTATATATGAATTTTTGCATGTATTTTTTTTT